CACAGTGCATCTCAGGGTCAAAAAGGACCGTGAGCATCTTATGTGCAGTGTGAAGTAGTCCCAAGTAGCACTGGCACTGATGCGACGAAACCAATAGAATATTCCTAAGGGCGTGTTAGTACTTCTGGGTACGACCCCTTGGATTGCGCGATCGGTTAGCGTAGTATGAACGCACTTTTAGCTAGCTGACTAGGTATGGTGCGACAAGTTCATAATCGAGCAATTATGCTCATGCGAATGCGAATACCGTGCTCATGACGTCACTTTCCAGCTCCCTGCCTTATTGCTTCTTGCTGAAACTAATCTCGCAGCCGATTATCTCTTCTGCATCATACAGAACGCGTTTCGAAAACCAACCTAAGAAAAACTGAGGAGTCTTGATTTTAAGAACTAGCGTGAAGGTACAGTTCTTTATTGAAGGCTTGGACGGAGCACTTGTGCTCAACAAATGCGATGGTTTTGGAGTGGTGATCCCCCAGATCCGAAATCACGTCTGAAATGGGACTGGTCATACGAGGATGAGACCAAGGCAGCGGTATGTTTCCTTGTTATTACTGACGAAGCGATTTTCATTCAGAGCAACATTCCTTGACGCATTGGGCTGAGTTGTCCCTATGAAATGAGAGTAAGGGAGGGGAGGGGTGGAGGGGAGGATATTTATTGTGTGGCAACATTCACCATCCTGAGAGCAGCGCTTTCGTGGTTGTGAGATTTGAATCCTGCATATGGCCTGTAGCTGTTTCAGAGAACTACTAAAGATCTTCTGATCATAACGAGAAGGTCGAGTGGGATGAAATTATTGCTAAAGTGGCTCTGTAAGGTGTGTTCATAGTTTGCGTCAGCGTTTTGAGCGTTTCGAGGGTACGGCTGCGTTTTGAGCGACTAGCAAATTATAGATAAAGATTCTGCATTTTGAGTGTACGCCAGCGTTTCGCGGGTAGTTTTGAACTTTTCACGAGCAGTCAATAAAGCCGCTGGCGTAAGCCTAAAAGGCTAACTCGACACCTGTACTTTCCTTGTCGCTCAAAACGCTTGAGCGATACGCTCAAAGCGTTGACGCAAAATATGAACTCAACCTAACGATTTTTTGCGTCGTTCTGTTTGAATTGCTTCCAGTCTTGTTCGCTGCGGGTACTGGAGCCTGTCCGGGTACCTGGGTCTGCGCAGCCCCAGCCTGCGCTCCACCATTTGTAGGAGCGCGTAAGCGAAAACAATTGGCGCAAAATGGGTTGACGTCGCGCCGAACGGAGCTTTCTTGACACTTCCTGGGATCCGCAGCGAACAAGACAACACAGCCATCTCATATTCCTCAAAATTTTCTCCCGGTTGAATATTTCCGTCTTCCTTAAAGTCTTCCTTACAGGCGAGCATCTTTGGCAACGGTGATGTCGTCGATGAACGCCTTGGAAAGAGCTTATTGTACGAGATTCTATACCTAAAGTCGCTGCGACAAACTGTTCTGTTTATGGTACGCGAATTTGAGCCAGCGAGTTCGAAAGCGAATATTTTGTTGATTCTCTGCAGATACGTGATGATTTCGTAGTGTTGGTATTAGCTGGTGGAATTCTGCCTCTTTGCGAAATACGACTGATGGAGAAACTTGGTAAGTTTCAGTCCCGCACTTGGAGCGGGTTATGGATC